CACAATGCGTCAAGAAAATGCCGACTGCCGGGTGACAAAGCACTTGATCTTGTGGGCACCAACTCGTTATCATCCCTCGATCCTTAATCTCATCACAGAATTCCTCAGGCAGAATTGCAGAACCCAATCCTGTCACAACGTCAGACCGGAGGATCCAAAGAAACTGGCATTTGCTATTTGCAAGTCCCCACGCAAACTCCTTCAAGTGCTCTTCGCTCATCACTGTTATGCTACCATAATTTACGTACACGACGGAATTTTCTGCTTTTCCATTTAGCCACTCGATGCAGTCAAAATCCTCCTTCCATAGGCTAGACCTGAGTGACTTGAATTTAGTTTCAGGAACGTGCCTGGATAAGAGGAGAAGTGGTCCAATTGTGTACATGGGAGGGGATTTGGGTGCAATTGCCTCCAGGACTTCTTGTTCAAGCTCGTCGAATGTGTTGAAAGCAATCACCGGTGATTTCAAGCAGTTTTGGGCTTCCGATCCCAAGAAATCAAACATTATGTCCTTTGAATCGGTGGTTCTGATAAAGCTTGGAATATCCCTTAATCTCATGTTACTCATTCCAGGAACCCAATCCAATGGGGTTTCTAGAGTACCATCAATTAAATAACTTTCATCTGAAGAAAACCAAAAAGTTGAGGCAAATTACAAAATAAAATTTGAACCTAAAACCTAAGATAATATGGTCCCAAAAGTTGGACTTGAAACTTATTATAAAGACTTTATTATTGAAAGTTTTGTTCTAAATTACACCCTATGTTTGATTTAAGGAAACAGAGAGAAGGAAGGAGAGATATCTCTTCATTTTCCTTGACTTACCTTATATCCACTTTCTTCGTTTGTTTATATTAAAATTACAAAAGAAAATAAAAGAAGGTACTCTCCCTTCGCCTCCTTTCTTCTCCAATTTTTATTATTAAATAGGAAAATTTATCATTCTCCCCTCACCTACCCTCCCCACCCCTCAAAGTGAACAAGCTGCTAAACAATACTTTGTAAATTCTAGAAGAAGAAATATAGAAGATACCTTCGAATGGAACAATGCCTTTCTTTAACAGTACACTGTATTGCAAATATCCCATGAAGCCACAAGCTGAGGCAGTCCAAAGTTGAACAGCTGGTATGCCAAGTGCTTCAGCAGCTCTCACACCGAAGCCCATAACTCCATCGGAGACTACGCAGGTTACCGGTGGTACTTGTGAATTTAACTTACCAAGCAGCTCCAAGAACGGTACGAGACAATTCTTTCTGGTGGCATCGCAGAGCGGTGGAACGTCCTGCGTTGCATCGCGATCAGATGGCGGTAACCCATCGGAAATGGTTTCAAAGCAGAAATCCGGCAGGCCATGGACAGCGTCCGCACCCCTGGAGCGGATGAAGCGGCGGTGGTTGAACTCGGTGTTGACAAAGGTTATGTGGAAACCTCTGTAGTGTAGTAGCTTGGCTAGCTGCATCAAGGGGGTGACATGGCCTTGTGCTGGAAATGGGACACATACCACATGCGGTTTTGTCGTTTCAACAGAACTCATTTTTTCTCTTTGCAAAGAAATGGGAGTGGTAGAATATTGGAATTGGAGAGGTCTGCGAGAAAGCTCCTTAGCTTCTCCGGTTCTTATAGAAATCAAAATCTTGGACTCTAATATCAACGGAACATCAGGGGCCCAAAAAAAAAAATATCATAACAAAGTACTTTTCACTTTTTCAATTATTTTTTAACTGCAAAATTTAATTTTTATTAATTTGTGACGGAATTTGTGATACTCCAACCCGTAACAAAACTTTTTAGAATGTTAATGTAATCCATTATTACTTTTTTGAAGAAGGGGCCTTCTTTTTCTTTTGGAGTTTATAAGGGGGAAGGGCACATTCAGACTCGAAACCGGGTACCATCAGTAAAAAGAAGGTGAGCTAAGAAAAATCTACCGATAAGCTTCCCTTTTTTTTCTTTTTTTTTTTTTTTCTCGGATTTCCACCAGTAGAGCTCTTGAAGCAGTTCACGTCATCTTTTTCATGATAATGTGGAATTACCGGTTCATCTCTCCCCCCCCCCCCAAATAGACTCATTTGGTTAATTAAGTAACAATTACATGCCCTGGAATTTTGCATTACCATTCCCACAAAACTTGGTAACTTGAATGCCATGACTTTGGTAGGTAATGTTACGTTACCACGTCGAGATGGGAATATTGAAAGATAAGTTTTGGACTATTTAATTAGGCTTATCTGTATAAGTTATAGTCCGTGATGGAGGTTGACAAAATATACAGGGGGACCCAAAAAGTTTTTTTCAATCAGTCACAATAATATAAAATATAGTATACATAATATAAGAAATAAATTTAATAACTAATTATCAATTTTACCATATTTAAGAACATAATCTTAGATCTCGCTTTAAATTACAATTTTTTTTTTTTCATAGCAAAAGTATAATTTATTAAATAGAATACAAGGAATACTCTTATCTATAATACAATTAGCTAGAGTCTCTGAACATCCAACAACACAGCTTACAGATCCCTCCAAAACCTTTCATCAACATATCAAGAAACATAAGTCAACAGAACCTCAATAGTGCATACCAGGCGGCACAAAACAAAATGGTCAACCATTTCAAGCCCATATTATTTACTACGTTTAGCTTTTAGACTCAAGGCCGGTTCCGACTCCCAATCACACAAGCTAAAAGAGTAGCCAGTAGCCCTACCCTTAATCCAGTAAAGAGCTCGTAGTTGCATAAGTTCAAAGATTTTGTCCACTTCATACTCATAATTTTTGAATATCTTGACTTTCCTAGCCATCCACAAGGACTATATAGTAGAGAACCATACCATGTCCAATCCAGCTCTCACTAATGGGTCTTTAAAAAATGAAAAGTGTTGCTTGAAAGCCTCATAACAGGTCAGCTTGAACCGAATAGAACCTCAACCATTGTAATCATTTAGACCGCACAGAATATGCAACCTTGTAATGAAGAAACAAATGGTTGACATCTTCAATGCTTTCACCACACAAACAATATGACAGATGGCTAGGATTAGTTATAATGCCCCTTTTATATAAATTAAGCTTTGTTGGAATTCTGTCCTGGAAGACTTACTAGGCGAACGCACTAACTTTCGTAGGAATAAGTTTGCTCCATATCCTTTCATGTATCCATGCTCTATTATCACAATGGCTACTAGAGAGAAGGGTGTATGTCGACTTTACTGAATAAGCTCCTTCTTTGTCATACCTCTAATCCCAGCAATCTTGTTGGCCCTGAACTGGATGTGAAATATCTATTAAGCCTTGAATCCCAGCAATCTTCCCAAGCATACAATAGTTGTCTCCAATGTAATGACCAAAGCAAGATTCCATGCCTCCAATTGCCTATTTGGTAAGTTCTCTTGTCTTTATTTGTAGAAATAAGGAACAATCTTGGAAATTGGTTAGCTAGAGGCCAGTCCCTTATCCATACATCGTTCCAAAAACTAACAGATTTTCCTTTCCTTATTTAAAGTTTAAATCCCTCAGAAAGCTATACCCTATTAGAGTGATCAATGTAATCTAACCTACAAACATTTTTCTACCATAAAGACCCCCTTTAACTACCCTCATATACCCAATCTAGCCAACTACCATCCACACTTCCATACTTATCCTTAATGATCCTATACAGGAAATCTTCCTCCACACCTATAAGTCTACTCCACCACTTGCCCAACAATACAAGATTAAACTTTCTAAGATCTCTAACACCTAACCCTTCCTCCAATTTACTTTTACAAACTTTTTCTCAGTGGACCCAATTAATACTTCTCTTTCCTTACCCACCACCCATAGGAAGTTCCTACTAATTTTATCTAAAGAGAGAATCAAACCTTTTGGTAACAAATGCACGAACATGAGAAACATTGAAAGACTAGACATCATAGAGTTGAGAAGTGTAATCCTTCCACCAAGAAAGAGGAACTAACCCTTCCATAAGCTCAATTTCTTCTTAAACATCTCAATCATGGGTCTCCATAAAGCAATGCTTCTACAAATGCCTTCAATTGGCACGCCAAGGTACTTACAAGGGAAAACCCCTTGCTTATAGTTCAAAATGTGGGACATCTTTGACATCCAATCATATGAAACATTTATGCCCAAGAGCTAGCTTTTTCCAAAATTAATCTTCAATCCTGATACCAACTCAAAGGTTCTCATGATGCTCTTGTTGCCTAAACATTCTCCTCCATAGCCTTACCAAACAGTATTAAATCATCTGCGAATTGTAAATGAGACACTTTCATCCCTCTACTACCAACTTCAATCCCTTCAAAATGTCCACTAGTAATTGCTAAAGAAATGATGTCATGAAGGGATTTGACAACCAATAAGAATAAATAAGGTAAGAGTGGATCTCCTTGCCTAAGGCTTTTGTTGTTTTTAAATTGTTTGGTAGTGCTGCCATTAAGTAAAACAGATACCTCTGCTGTCTTCAAACAATCATTAATCCACTTTCTCCATTTTGATTCAAAGCCCATCCTCAACATCATATAATCCAGAAACTCCTAACATACTTTATCATATGCCTTCTTGAAATCCATTTTAAACACAAAACTTGCCTTCTTATTTCTCCTAGCTTCATCAATTGTTTCATTGGCAATTACAATGCTATCAATCATTTGCCTTCTTCCAACAAAAAGCATTTGATTCTCACCAACAATACCATCAAGAACCAAGCTAAGCTTATTAGTAAAAAGCTTTGCAATCACCTTATATATAACACTAATCAAGGAGATGGGTCTAAACTCCTCAATTTTTTTGGTATCAACACAATGAAAGAGCTATTTACCCCTCTGACCAATTTCCCATGTTTATGAAAATCTTCCACAAAACCCAACATATCATCTTTAATCACCTCCCACATTTCTCTAATGAATCTGAAATTAAACTCATCCAATCCAAGTGCCTTAGAACACTCATAGCTACACATTGCTCATTTCACTTCTTTATTGAAAGATACAGGCAACGTTGAGTTATCTTCTGTTGAGATCTTTTTAAATTCAATCCCATCAAGGTGAGGACGTTACCACCTATCTTCTCTGAACAAATTCTCAAAATAGCTTGCCACACCTTCCTTTATCTCATTAACCTCCTCCAGGTACTTGTCCTCCACTTGTATGTTAACTACTTCATTCTGTCTTCTTTTTCCTTTGACACTTCTATGAAAAAATTTGGTATTAGCATCCCATCTTTGATCCACACTTTCCTAGCTTTTTCACGCCACATGCATCCTTTACTTTAGTTTTGCCATAATTTTAGAAAGCTGTTCCTCCTTAATTCCACTCCCTTAACAGACAGAGAGGTCACTTCCCTTTTCAAATCAGTGTCAACAATAGAGTGCATGTACCTTTGTATGTTAGAGTCTACCTCTAAGACCATATTCCTACTTCAAGCTTTCAAAGTTTTTTCTTTTTTTGTTTCCTTTAGTTTTTCTTTCAAGCGATGTCCATGCAATCTTATGACCTTAGTCAACCTCTACACCTCCTCTACTAGGTCTTTAAACTCAAGTGGATCAATCCACATGTAAAAAAGGAAAATGACTTAGGGCTGCAATCAATGACATGATTTTTCAACAAAATTGGATAGTGATCCGACTTTGTTCACTTTAGCCCTCATTGTTTAACATCCAACCAATTGAGACACCATTCTTCAGAAAGCAAGAAATGATCCAACCTACTCATAATTGCTCTGTTAGGCTGATACCATGTAAATTTTTTACTTATCAAAGGTAGATTGATTAAGCCACATTCTCTAATGAATTCATTAAATTCCACCATTTCCCTCTTACTAGTTCTCCCTCCATTCCATTCTTGCTTGTTTCTTATGGCATTAAAATCATTCATTAAACACCAATTATCTCTAGCTTCCATAATCAGATTCTTAAGATTAATCCACAAAGCCCTTTTTCTAGGCAGATCACATGGAGAGTAAATATTCATAATGTAAACAAGAGTTGCTTATACCCCCAAAATCCAAAAACCCTCCACAAAATTTTGACCTTCAATGATATTTTCTTTCCTTAATACATCACAATTCCAAATATAGATTAAACCTCCATACACACCTCTAGATGGTTTTGCTGCCTAATCAAAGTTCTCTAAACCCCATAAAGTCTTGCACATTTGATAATCAACCTCCTTTCCCTTTGATTCTTGAATAAACAAGAAATCAATTTTCTCTTTTACAACTAACTTTTTAACTTCGTTCTTCTTGCCCTCCCCCCCTAAGCCTCTGATGTTTATTGACAAGAAAATCATTTTAAACTAATACAACCCTTCCGACCTATAACATCCTCACTAACCTTTGATTTTCTTAACATCTGCCTGTCTTGATCCTCCATATCTATCAGTAGTTGGATCACTTCAGCCTTATTTCCATAATTTTCAACTTTAATCTTCTTTGCAAATGCCCAAATCTTTTCCACATTACAAGACTGAGCTGCTCTTCGCAGACCCCCATTCCTATTTTCAATGCCACTATCAATGACTAATTCACCTGCAACTTGATTTTGAGACCTAAGGCAAAATTTCAGCATCATCTCCTCCAATCTTCGTTCCTTTGCTAATTTCTTCCTCCCATCCATCTCAAACAGTCGTTTCTCCTTCCTTGCTCTCATGTACACCAAAAAACAAGATCTCAGTTTCTTCTTTCTATGCTTTTTTGGTTTCCTTTGCTTTCAACCCATCTATTCCTGCTCTTAACCTGATTCGTTCTCAAAGCCCTCCCAAAAAGAGAACTCCACACCAATAGAATCAGAACTGGTTGAATAATTGTTATCCCTTG